TTTTCTGGACATTTCATATATGTAGAATCATATAATATATAACCTTTCATGCGTGGCTTTTTTCACTTAGCATAATGTTTTGAAGTTCATTCGTGTTATAGCTCATGTAAGTATTTTACTCTTTTTTTTATTAGGATTTGTCTTCCATTAAGGATATCCTACATTTTGTTTATCCCTTCACCGGTTGATGGACATTTGGCCTGTTTCCACTTTTTGGCTATTATGAATAATGCAGCAACACTTGTACGTTATTATGAATAACGCACAAGTGTTTGTGTGCACATATGTTTTATTTCTCTGGTGTAGATCCGTAGGAATGGAATGGCTGAGTTGTATAAAAAATTATACTTAACCTTTCAAGCAACTAAAAAATGGTTTTCTGGCCAGGCGCGGTGGCTCACACTTGTAATCCTAGCACTTTGGGAGGCCTAGGCGGGTGGATCACCTGAGGTCAGGAGTTCGAGATCGTACACAGCAAATTGAGTGTGTGAAACGGCAGTCCCAAAAAAGCAAAGAAGAAACAAATGTCTATTGCAAATCTTTTTGCCCATTTAAAACACTGGAGTCTTTTTAAAAGTTTCTTGTGTTTTCTGGGTACAAGTTGTTTTTTTTTGCAATGGTATTGAATTGCAGAATACTTTCTCCTGTCTGTGGCTTTTTCTCTCCCTCCTTCTTCCCTCTTCCTTTCCCTCTCTTCGTCTTCCTGTCCTCCTATCCCGTCTGCTTCTCTTTTCTTTCTTCTTTCTCTCTTGGTTTCTCTTGTCTCCTTCCTTCTGCTTTCCTCTCTTTCTTTCTTTCTCTTCTTTTGTTCTTTCTTCTTTCTTTCTTTCTTTCGTTTCTGTTCTTTCTCTTCTTTCTTTCTTTCTTTCTTTCTTTCTTCTTTCTTTCTTTTTTTTTGTTCCTTTTCTTTCTTTCTTTCTTTTTCTTTCTTTCTTTTTTTCTTTTCTCTTTTCTTTCTTCTTCCTTCTCTTTCTTCTTCTTCTTCTCTTTTTTCTCCTGGTCGCCCAGAGCTGGAGTGCACTGGCACAATCTTTGGCTCACTGCAACTTCCGCTTCC